AGAATGTATTCATCAAAGAAGTAAAGATGCAAGAAGGAGTGACTATGACAGGAAGTATTAACTCTAAAATACTCCATATTGGGCCATGTTAAAATGAAATAAGAGAAAAAGGAAGAGAAAGAATGATATGAAAGAAAAAAGTGAAATTATGAATAGAAGAAGATAAAAAAGAATAATTCAAAAAAGAAATAATAAATGATGAAAATAATGATGAAATAAATGATGCATTTTTTATTATAGAAATTAGAAATATGCAATAAAAAAGTGTTTAATTTATTGATGCAAATTATTTATCATTATTTTATTTATGCAATTTATTTTATTCATTTTTATTTTTATGATTTTTATTTATATGTATTATTTATTATCTTTTTTTCTTTTTAATATATTGATTATTTTATTTTATTATTTATTATTCTTTTATTTATTTTTCTATATTCTTTTATTTGTTCTTTCTTATTTTATTTATGAAATATTTCAATATTATAAAATAATTTTATTGTTTAATTATTTAAATGATTTATATTAAAATGAATTTATTCTATATTTCATTGTTTTCTTTTATCTTTATTTTATATTTTAATAATTTCTTTAATATTATCATTTTATATTATTATTATCTTTATTCTTTCATATTTTTATTATTTATTATTATTATTGTATTTTTCATTTCTTATTTTATTTTAATTTATTATTAATATTATTTATATTTCTTTTCTTTCTTATTATTATTCTTTATTCTTATTATTTCTTTATTTATTTTATTTATTTATTTTCATTTGATTCTTATTTTCATTTCTTGTTTTGATTATTTTGTTTTGATTTAATTTTTAATATTAATATATTTTTGATTATTAATATTTATTTATCATTTATTTATTATTTGTTTTTATTATTATCATTTGATTTATATTTATTATTTATTTCTTTTATTATCTTTCTTTTCTTTATTCTTTATTCTTTATATTATATTCTTATTTCTTATTATTTATTTTTGATTTTAAATGATTGTTTCAATATTCATCATTTTATTTATATCTATTATATTAATCTTACATCATTAAATTATATCATTAAATATTGAATAATCAATGTGATATAACAAAATAATTTAAATAATATATCATTATAAAATGAAATAATTAATAAATGATTTCATAATAAATATTAAATTCATGAAATAATGAATAATATAATACAAAATGATAAATAAAAATGATAATAATAAATAAATAATAATACAAATTATAAATAATAATAAATATAAAAAATAAAGGGAACCAAAATAAGCAAAGAAATTATGAATCTAAATAAAATGATCAATTGAAAATGGTGTAATATATTTTTTGAATATTAGATTATTCTGTTTTCTATTATTTTCTCTTAAAATTATAAAATATAAAATAAAATAAAAAGTAGGTAAAATATCAAATCTATAACAATCAGTCGACACTTTGTAACTTCTTGTTGTATTGAGTATGATGTATCTTGATTTGTTGAGTATATTCATTCATAATTCTGTTCATTTTATATTATTCTTTATTTCATTTCATTTACCTTCAATTCTATTTTAATGTGAAAATATCATTATGAAATGTAATAAAGAAGAGTATTATGTTAATTCAAATTTATAATGTTAGTTATGAATAACAATGATTATATAAATATGAATATCAATCGTATTGTTATTAATGATTAAATATGTTAAATTTCATTTATCATACTGATGAGATGTCATAATGATATGTTAACAAATGTTATTATTTATTTAAATGATATAATTATTGATATGAAAATTAAATTATATCACAGATGATTATCAATGATGAATGATGATAATATACAATTTAAATTATTTATATTATCATATCAAACAAGAATTAAATGATGAAACAAATAAAAAGATAATAAATAACAAATGTCAATGAAATGATGAAATGATAATAATAAATTGAATAATTTAAACATCAACACAATAATACAGAATGAAGAATGACTATTTAATATGTATTATAAATTAAACATTTATAATTAATAATAATGAATTTAATGTTCATCATCAACTTTCATTCATGATAATAACTCATTAATTTTATCATTAATCATTATATTTATTTTCTTATTATTTTCTTTATTCTTTCTTTTATCATTTTCTTTTTATATTTATTTTATTTCATTTCAATTTCATCAACAGATATAATCATTTAATACAGAAAACGAAGTAGAAAGATATAACTAATAATATACAAATATGTTATTCTCATATTTAATCACAAATATTTACATCTAATTGTATTATCTACTATTTTTTACGTTTTAAACATTTAACAAGAATTAATTTGCAATATGATAATTCATTTCAATGAACTATCAAACATAAACACCATGTTTTAAACAAACAATGAATACATTCATTACATTTAGACAACAATTAAGAAATAATTAACAACATCACAAATCAATATAATAATATAATGATAAATACGAATAAAACGCATAATTTCGTGACCATAAAAATGTATACATACATTGAATCAAATATCATTTCTGAATTATTTATATTTCAGAACAATTGAACATAAAATGATATAAAATATAAACAAATATAAATAAATATAGAATGTGTATTTAATTTACTTTTTTATTTTTTATTTTTTTAAGAACAAAATAATAAAAACTATTATTTTATTGATTCAAAATATTTTGCCCTTTTCTTTTTGTATTTTTTATTTAGATTCATTATTTCTTTGCTTATCTTGGTTCCCTATTTGATATCATTGAAATGATTATGTATGATTTAATTGGTACAATTATCAACTCATTTGTAACACCTCGTTTCAATGAATCATAGACAAGAGGAAAACGAAGAGAATCAATAACTAATCATATAAAAACATCGTGAAACCAATATATTCAAATACTATTCCTGTATTAATTAATTCACCCTTTAAACAACATTGTATTGTCATAATGTGTAATTAGAAAGATATGAGAATAATTGTTGAATTGGAGTCTACACTAATTGTTAATAAAGATAAATGAAATATTAACATCTCATACTTTCATTAATTAAAACAACATAAACCAAAAAATGATTCAATTTACTCTCATGATATAGATTAAATGAAATTCTAAATAGTTAATAAATAATTTATAATATGCATCATCAAATAAACATACAAAATAATTTAAAGATAATAAATGAATAAGAAATGAAGATAAACGAATATAATTATTTCTTTTTATTATTTAAATGAAAAACTAATACAATAAAATAATATATAAAATACAATAAAGAAAGAAAGATTATATTTTACTTCATTTGTTCAAAACAAATCTAGTTCACTTATGTCTTCGTTTTTTTTATTTACTTTATTAACACTGACCACACCTTACTTATCTCATACACCCTAATTGGTTCAGCCACTGTACTGTTTTAGCACTGAATAGCCCCTACTTCCCTAATCCATACTATATTAAAACATTAATGATAAAAACTCAATAAAAAAGAAGAAATTAAAATATAAAAATAAAAGAACTAATAAAAACAACTAATAAATAATAAAACAATAATGAAATTAGGGTATAATGAAATAATGATAACATCAATGTATTTTAATGATATTAATGATTTTATTAATTTAGAAATGGGTGTTAAAAGATTTCAAGGAAATATGGAACGATTTCATTTTAATCCAATTCCTTTAAATGAATATTCAAGAAAATTGTTTCCTAATATTGAAACATTTCATATTTATAATAGAAGTGATGAAATATTTAATGATGGAAAAATATTTAAATATGTAATATGGTATTATGTGGATTATTGGGAATATTTACAAGAGAAAGAAAAAGGAGACGTATATAAAAATATAATATACACAAATTATGATAGAAAGAAATATGGAAACACAATACCACCAGAAGTTACAATACTTGGATATGAATGTTTTAATGGATGTTCATCGTTAAGTAGTATTACAATGCCAATGAGAATTAAAGAATTAGGGCCTTGGTGTTTTTCAGGATGTACATCATTAAAATCAATTAATATACCAACAACAATTAGTAAAATAGGAGATGAATGTTTTAGTTATTGTTCATCATTAACAAGTATAAGCATAGACAATCTACAGTTTGTTAGTGAAGAAAGAATATTTATAAATGGACCAGTGTTAAATAGTATTAAAACACCATTACAGTTAAAACAAATTAATGGAAAAAATATTGAAAAGAAAGATATTAATGAATTTACTATTCCACCAACAATTACTAAGTTAGGGAATAGTTGTTTTAATTGGTGCGCACCATTAAAATCAATTAATATACATTCAACAATTAGCGAATTAGGAAATCGTTGTTTTGAAGGGTGTTCATCACTAACATCAATTACTATACCAACAACAATCAGTGAATTAGGCAACGAATGTTTTAAGGATTGTTATTCATTAACATCAATTGATTTACCAACATCAGTTATGAAATTGGGAGATCGGTGTTTTAAATATTGTACATTATTAACATCAATTACTATATCAACAACAGTTAGTACAATAGGAATTGAATGTTTTTATGGATGTAAGGCATTAACAAATATGGAGATTAAAGGTCTTAAATTTATTAGTGAAGATAGAATATTTGTAGGAGAAGAAAAACTGGTATCAATTGACATAGGTAAGTTAATAAAAATTAATGGAAAAGAAATAAAACGATGGGATGTTAATAAATTTGTAATTCCAACAACAATTAAAGAAATAGGCGATTACTGTTTTAGTAAATCTGATAAATTAAAATCAATTTCTATTCCATCTTCTGTTAGTAAGTTGGGAATGTATTGTTTTAGTGGATGTTCATCACTAACGTCGGTCATTCTTCCATCTTCAACTATATCATTTGGGTGGAGATGTTTTACTGAATGCAATAAAGTGTTACATGAAATTAAAAGAATTCCAATCGAGTGTTTTGAAAGTGACTATGAACTAAATGAAAAATAAAGTTATTTGAATTTGAAATGAAGTATTATAATTTTATTAATATTTTTTCACCTTTTTTATTTTGATTTGTTCATTTTCAAAAAAAAACTTAATTTACAAATAATTTGGAAAACAATTGTTTATTAAAATAGAGTATTTCCTTTTATTGATTCTTCTTATTTCTCTCTTTGACTCATTTAACTTTAATGTTTTATATAATTGAGTTATCGAAATTAAAATAAAGTTTTGGTTGTTTCGTTCTTATAATTATTTCAATTTCATAACAATCAATGGGTTAATTGTTTGTCTTGTGTATTGCTTAAATAATGATTATTGAATCTGGTATTATTAATGTATTATTTGTTGGTTTTTATTATATCATTTTCATTTAGATTTATATTCAGATAGGAGCAGTTATTAAAATGAAGGATGAACATTAAAGCAAATGGTGTTCTTGTTTACTTAATAAATCAGAAACACTCATTTAAACAATGAGAAGAATAAACTAATATAGAAAATACGATACGTCAAAGTGAAAACAAATAAAAGACATAGTATAAGTGTATATTGACATTAATTTATTAGTATAAAGTATTACTTAAATAGAATAATTTATTTAGATTTGAACAAATTAGAATATATTTGATGTATTAACAATTATAATAAACAAAGATGAAATAATAAATTTAACAAAATAAAGTTGTTAATAAAACATCCAAATTACTGTTTGAAACAAATGAAAAAGAATCAATACTTAAAACAATATTGAATAATTCATCTAAAAATGAGTTAATAGTAAAAATTAAATACAAACAATTGAACAACACAACCAAGAAAAATAGAGCAAAATATAAACAAATAGAAAAGTAACTTTTATAAAGATTAAATGAGAGAATTAAGATATTCACACTAAATCAATTGGCACCATGCTATTCACTAATCTTAGTCTAGTTTTAAAAAAGAAAGTCCCGTATCAAACATAAAGGATGAAACAAACAAAGTAAAAGAAAAAAAACAACAAAGAAAGGTAGTGAAAATGATAATGAACAAAAACATCAAAAAAAAAAAATAAACATGAAATAACAAAACAATAAGAAATATCAGAAAAGAGAAAAAATAGAAAAAGAACATATTAATTAATAAAAAAAACATCCAATTTTAAACAAATAACAACATTTGTATATTATTAATGTTATCTAAAAACAATAAAAATGAAATGACATTTGATTTAATGAAATAAAAATAAGTTAATTAAATGTTAACAGTTTTATTTTCTATTGTTCATTCTTCAATGTAGATTATTTGTTTTAACATTGTATTTCATTATCTATTAGTTTATTTTTAGTTGTTGAATTGTGAAAATTTCATTTATTCATTTATTTAATGTACAATAAAGTATTTCAGAATCTCTGATTTAAATGTATTTGAGTTATTATCTGATTTTAATGAGTGTTAAAATTTATTTTTACTTTCTTATTTTAAGAAGAATATATCATTATCACTATATTACTTTGAACTATTTTCATTTTAACATAATCATAACAACATAGCTTTTCATTGATAATATCTATATTAGCAGATATACATATATTCTAACAAGTAAATAATACTATCACCTTTATAAATAAGTACACATTTAATATAAAGGATATTTCATCATTGTAAATATTAAACACTGATATTCTTACAACACTGATTAAGACGTTTTCTAATTAATAGTAACATCATAATCAGATGATAACCAGTAATTTAAAGTATGAAAATATTTGATGGTTACATATGGTATCTCTGATGTGCTACATTCGAGTCATATCAAATAAATAAAGAATAAAATAAGAGAATTGAACAAAGAATAATCAATAAAAATTCATCATTCATTAAATATAAATAAATTATAATATTTAATATAAATAAATTATTTATAAATGAAATTGATATTACAAAATAAATATAATAAATATATAAAATAATAAAAGAAGAGAATATAAAGAAGAATATAATAATAAAATAAGATATATTCATTCTTATTTATTATTATTATTATTATTATTATTATTATTATTATTATTATTATTATTATTATTATTATTATTATTATTTATTGTTGTTTATATTATATCATTTATTTATTATATGTTGTATTGTTATTTATCATTGTTAATATGAAATGAATAATAATGAATAAATATAAAATAAGAATAAAATGATATAAGAATATAACATAAATAATAAAATAAGAATAAAATGATATAAGAATATAACATAAATAATAAAATAAGAAATATATAATAGACATAAAGATAAAAGAAGAAGAATAAAATAAATAAATATAAAATAATATAAATAAAATAAAAAATAAATAAAAAGAATAAAATAAATATTTTATTATATTTTTATTTATCTTTTATTATTTCTTTTTATTATTTATTAAATTAACACATTGAATATGATTCTTTTAAATAAAACAAGAAAGAAATATGAACATTTTTATATCCATCATTTCATTTATTGATAGATGAAATGTTCATATTCATTTATTGATTTTATTTTATATTCTTTTTTAGTTTTATATTTCAAATAAACAATAATAAATAAAATCATTTCATTTCAATTACAATAATTCGTTGTGGTGTGAAATGTTTTGGATATTGTTTTCCACAAAGTGCATTTGATATTCCTTTATATTCAAATGAAAATTGTTTACACCATGATTTTGCTTTCTCATTTTCTTTATAAACAACAATGTCATGCCCAAATAATCCAAATGCAAACAACCAAACAACTGATTGACTACCTAAACTAAATGCGTGTTGTGATTCTTTAATATCAAATTTCATCATTCCTTGTATTCTTCCTTTTGATTTTAATGAAAATAAAAATGATTTTGGATCATTTATCCAGTTCCAATTACTAACTTTATCAATTTTTTCATTAACATATCCTCCAAATTTATTTCCATCTGTATCTTCAATAATAATTATTATATGTTCTTTACTTATTA